AAGTACAATTATTTCTTCTTAAATGTGTCCGTTTTGATTCTTCGACTTTAATGCTCAACGTTTGAATTTGAGTTGACTCTGATCTTCATGGGCCTCGCCTCTTTTGGCCCAAGCGTCCTCGAACCGACTTACCCATGTCTTCTACACCGAACTTGTGTCACAGTGCAGTCACTTCGGATTCTCGAAGTGGTGACAACCACTTCGACCATCCCTTCGGCTCACGGGTCCAATGGGCTTCATCCTTTATGGGCCATTATCTTGATTACGTGGCAATCTTTGGTAGGTCTCGTACTTCTGGTGCGAGATCCGACACCTGATAGTAAGATTTTACTCTATCTCTAACAGGTATCAATCCCTAATACACATGCCATTGTAGTATATTAGGTTATCAATCCAATCTCAGTGTGACTGCAAGCATTCAAGATATGAAACAGAAAGCAAATAAGTCAAGCCAATTATGAAAGGGTTTTGTGTGTTTCTATTGATCCTAGCAACCAATTTAACATGCAAATACCAAATTTAAAAGCATAAAAATAGAACTAAACAGCAAGTAAACAAGAGCAAGAAGTAAACTAAAGACCAGAAACTATCATGCAAAAGCTTTGGAAAAGAAACTAACAACCTAACAATGGAGAGAAGCGCTCTAGGCCTAGCAGGTCGAGATAGTCACAAAAGCTAACAGAAACGAGATTTAAACAATCAATAGAGAGAAAAGGTCCTGAGGAATGGGGTAATCGATTATGGCAGTCTCCTTTAGTCTACCTAGGTGGTTAACAAACTCAATTAAGCTATCCCTAGACAATAGATTCGAATACAAATCAATTCACTCTCGTGACAGAGATTCTCAAACTAAATCACTTTCATACTCAATTCTCATTGAAGAAATATAACCTAGCAGGCATTAAGATTCAATCTAATAGAGTCAATAAGCATTCTAAACATCCAATCTCTTGGGCTAGAGTATGCAAATCTCTGGAATAGTTTGTTCAGACATTTCATCAAACACCTTTTGGGTGTGGAAATGTCTGAGATCAACTTCCAATTGATCAGAGAGGAAGTAGCATTAAGATCTACTAAACCAGAAGGGAAATCAAGCAATTCTACACTTAACCACCTAAATATACTAAGGATTCCACACCTAATCTATCCCATCCTCAAGAACCCTAATCCACTACTCAAGAACACTGAAGAACATCATGCATAAAAACCCAGAAAACGTTTCAAACCCAGAAATCATTAAAAAGCAAGTATGTTATAGATAAGAGGCAGATCTACAACTTTGATGAAGAAACGAAATCCAAAAACTCAAAGGATCAACAGGAAAAACGATTACAAAAACTAGGGTTTATGAGAGAAAAGAAGAATATCTGCTGGGTAAAAGGAATATCCGCTGGACAATAGCATGTACCCCTATTTATAGGAAATACTAGGTTGCCCTAATTGGCTACAGGACAAAATAGAGAGTCGGTGGAGGCCAACTCGACGTGTCGTCGAGCCTGCCACGTCGAGACCGCGTGATCTCCAAAGGTGGCGCCTTGACGTCCATCTCGACGTGTCGTCGAGCCTGTCTGGTCGAGTCTGCTCCCAGGCTGCTTCTTGGCGTCCTACTCGACGTGACGTCGAGCCTGCACGTCGAGACTGCTCCCAGGTGATCTTGAACGACTTCATTCCTCTCCAATTCGATCCCAAGTCTAGCTCCAAGGTCGTGTTGGTTCCTCCTTGCTCCATTAAGTCCCAAATAAGCTCCAAAGTACCTAAAACTCATCCAATATGCAACATGCTATGCCATGCAATGCAAATCGTACTAAGTGATGAAAATCTTATGAAAAAGGACTATTAATGCAGTGAAACAGAGAGGAAACTAAGCTAAATGCATAAGAAATGTGTGCTAAAAAGAGGTAAAATACAGAGATATCAACACCAACAGGATTCACACACTCAAGTATTTTTTATTAAATAGGAAAGATTATTCTTGAGGGACAAAAAATAAGAATGTAAAAGGCTTATGAATTGCTACAAAAATTGCTATAGTATTTCTTGTTCGAGAGAGAGATATTCCCTTTACATGGTCATTGGCCTTTATATTTATACATAGAGAAACGACATTAAAATGAATAATTAAGTACAATTATCCCCTCTTAAATGTGTCCGTTTTGATCTTTGACTTTAATGCTCAACGTTTGAATTTGAGTTGACTCTGATCTTCATGGGCCTCGTCTTTTGGCCCAAGTGTCCTTGAACCGACTTACCCGTGTCTTCTACACCGAACCCATGTCGAAGCGCAGTCACTTCGGATTCTCGAAGTGGTGATAACCACTTCGACCGTTCCTTCGGCTCACGGGTCTAATGGGCTCTATCCTTTATGGGCCATTATCTTGACTACGTGGCAATCTTTGGTTGGTCTCGGACTTCTGGTGCGGGATCCGACACCAACAGGGTTGGTTGGATGTATGGGTAAGTAACGATAGAGATTGGTCCATCAATACATGATTGGTTAAAAATTGTTAGTTAAGCTAGACATTTGGGCTAAGGGAAGGATCAATGGACGGATCGAAGAGGAATCGAATCTGCATGTTGGCCAAGGTATGTAAATGAATCTAACTTATTAGTTAAGCTAGACATTTGGGAATCATCAGTTGAAATTAGGATAACGGAATATGCAATCGTTAGACTTAGAATGATTAGCGAACAATATGCATGTCTTGACCGAGTAAAGAATCGATCTAAGTCTTAGGGACAAAGACGATAAAATCGGTACAAGGGTTTGTTGGAATTAAACCAAGGGTATAAAGACTTCCGCTGTGTTAAAAAAGAAGGATTATAGAATTAAGCCTCGTAAAGGCAATTCTATGTTAAAATGCAAAAAATATAGAAGTTCGGCCGCGAGAAGGCAAGAACGTGTGTCTGTGGTCGCCGGACGCCAAGTTGTCCGGGACGGGATGCTACACATATTCAGAATGCTATAACGTTTAGATTTCTGATGAGTCTAACAGCTGGCGAAAATCTAGAGATGCGTCTCATGGGTGTCGTTACAGCATATTTATATGGATCATTAGATACATATATCTATATGAGAGTTCCCGATGGGTTTAATATGCTAGAAGCAATAAAATCTAAGCCCAAAGAGTTGTGTGCAATAAAGTTGCAGAGATCATTATATGGATTAAAGCAATCTGGACGAATGTGGTATAATCGTCTCAGTGAGTATTTAACGAAAGAATGATATGTGAATGATCCTATATGCCCAAGTGTTTTCATAAAGAAAACAAATTCCAGATTTGTGATAATCGCGGTATATGTTGATGATCTAAACATAATCGGGACTCAAACAGAAATACAGAAAACAACAAACTATTTAAAAGGGGAATTTGAGATGAAAGATTTCGGATAGACAAAATTTTGTCTTGGCCTACAAATTGAATATACTCAAAAGGGTATATTTGTACATCAATCCACATACACCAAAAGAGTGTTAAAACGTTTTAATATGGATAAGGCAACTTCTCTCAGTACTCCAATGGTCGTTAGATCACTTAATGTTGAAAGTGATCCTTTCCGACCACTTGAGGAGAATGAAGAGATACTCGGTTCTGAAGTACCATATCTAAGTGCAATTGGAGACCTTATGTATCTTGCAAATTGCACTCGACCTGATATATCATTTTCAGTCAATCTTTTGGCTAGATTTAGTTCATCCCCTACACGAAGACATTGGAATGGGATTAAACATGTCTTTCGTTATCTGCAAGGGACGATTGATTTAGGGTTATTTTATCCTAAAAATATAAATGGTCAAATGATTGGTTTTGCAGATGCAGGATATTTATCAGATCCACACAAAGCTCGATCACAAACAGGATACGTATTCACGATTAGAGGTACTGCTATATCATGATGTTCTCAGAAGCAGACGTTTGTAGCTATTTCTTCGAATCATGCTGAAATCATTGCACTCCCTGAAGCGAGTAGAGAATGCATATGACTACGATCAATAAGTCGACACATTCAAACAAGTAGTGGAATTCGCCTGAATACAGAGCCAACTATCTTATATGAAGACAATGCTGCATGTGTTGCTCAGACAAAGGAAGGATATATCAAAAGCGATAGAACCAAACATATCCCTCTGAAGTTCTTTTCATACACCCAAGAGCTCATGAAGAATAAAGACATTGAAGTAAGATATGTCCGATCATCCGAGAATTCTGTGAATCTCTTCACAAAATCATTTCTCACCTCTATGTTCAGGAAACATGTCCATAACATTGGAATGCGTCATCAACAAGACATTTAAGATATGTTCCTGATCATTCGAGGGGGAGCTTGCGCGTTTGCACTCTTTTTACCTACTGTGGTTTTTCCCACCGGATTTTCCTAGAAAGGTTTTTAACGAGGCAACAGAAGATATTATGCAAGAGACATAGTGACATTGGTCTCGAAGGGGGAGTGTTGTAAAAGTCAACAAAAGAGGAGAACGTGAATGTCAATAATATACGCATACACATGTGTTAAACGTTACGTTAATATAGAGCCTACGTCACTATGCATGCACAGTAATTTACTTTTCTACTTCTATATAAACGATCGAATTCGATCGTTGTAAATCACAATTCGCATTGCTTCAATTACAAGAGAAGTAAGAATCTCTCTTTCTCTCATCTCTTTATTTTCAGTATCCCGAGGATTGTGTTTTTTGTTAATTGAATGGTGATGAAATTTTGTTGATTATAGCATGTGTACAAGTATGAGTAAATTAATATCGCACTCAATGTATAACCAGATAGAATTATCGTAGTGCTCTTCATTCGATCGACCTAGGTATTGCGGTAAACCTAGGAGGAATGGTAGATTCTGATACAGAAGGCAACTCAAATTAGACACACAAAAAAAAATGAAGAGGTGAATTGATTGAACACAACTTACTATTTGACTCTCACCCATTTCAGTCTACATAGCTTGAAAGGGAAATGAATACAGAACTTAAATGTTTGACTCTCACGCATTTCAACTCTACATAGCTTGGAGAGGAAATGAATTGACTGAATTAACTGTACTGTGATATTATATATACCCATTATTTAATCTCTCACGCACACCCACGCAGAGAACAACATCCTCTGAAGCGTCCAAAGCTAGAGGGATGCTTCAAAAGTTGACCTGAAATGAGATTGGTAAGTTCAGAGAAACCACTAGTCAAATCTATAAGATATTTATGTGTGATTCATTAGGAGATTACGGAGTAAAAGGTTCTTACGGTACTTGTGCCTATATGGCAAGACAAATCTCAGTTACGGGTAATATTGGTTGGATGGGTAAGGGAAGCGAGTGGCGACTTGGCTGAAAAAAAAAAGGAGTTTATCTATTGAGAAAAATGTGAAGAGTAAAAAATTATATGAAGTAGTTGAGTATCTTTATGAGCAGAACCTGAGCAATCCCAAAAGACTTGTCGTCACCCATTTTTTCAAGTCTAGCCTGACGGAAGAAATGAAAATGCTGGCAAACTCGATCACGATTATCTGATATAGAAGGAACAAAAAGAAAGTGTATATGGTTTAGGGATACATAAGAAAAGAAATACAAGATAAATGTCGTGATCACTCGTACAGAGGACTTACTTGAGATATGATAGTTGAGGTTATTGTGACGAGAAACATATTCTCCCTAAGGATTTCTTTGAAGGTTTGGTCTACACTTTGGATTTCAAACTCATTACAAACCTGCGTTGGAGTTTGAAGACAGAGAGATGATCAACATATTCGCAGCCAAACAAAAAGTAGGACAAACATCTCTTTCTTCTTCGCTGTCATCATCTGGAATATCTTCTTCTCCAGATTCAACCGGAGTCGACAAAGCTGATGCTTTAGTGGAACGTCCACGTCGCTCCTTTCTCTCTTTAATTTCAAGAAGCTTTGCCTCTGCAGCCTTTTGACGTTTGAACCGAGCTATCTACAAAGTACCAAAATCATGAACACACAACACAGATTTCAAAATCCGAAAACCTTAAACTTCATTCTCGTCAGAATATAAACAAAAGAAACAGGGCTAAATCTACCTTCAGAGCCCTTCGATCAGCAGGTGCACCAGAACCTCCTCGTGAAGAAGCCTCCAACTCCTCATCCGGAACAAGTTCCATTGCCTCACAGAACGAAAAGAACTCCTAAACACAATAACAAGACTATATACATCAGTCTGAAAAAAATCCAACCAAATGCTCATTCCCACTAGCACTAGCATCAAAGCTCAGCAGAAAAATTACCTTCAACTTTGCATACGAGGCTTCGACAATCGGAATCCGGTCGTCCTGTATGATTTTCTCTGTCAACTCCGCAAGGTAATAAGGTACCTATAATCATAAGAAAATATATCCCTCGTCACTTTAATGAAATTTCAACCCAAAACCCACACAATCTTCTGATCTCCACACAAAGTCACTGGTAAGTCCAATTGAAGAGGGCACAATCAGAATTTCAGACTCCAGATTTGAAATTTCAGTAGCTAAAACTAGAAGCATCAGGAGAAGCTAAAGTTTTTCACTTTCTGATCTTTCACACCAAACTAATAACAAAAGTATAATACAAACATACTAGTAAAAAATAGAAACAACAGAGACTGAATTGCATACCAAAAGATATTTGAGATTGTTGGTGCTAATATCTTCTTTAGTCTCGTTAGACGAAAACAGCGCCAGCTTCCTGATCATGTCTTCGCACTTCTGAAACATCTCACATCCTTTCTTCACAACATCCTAACAAAACCAAATCGCGGAAATATCCAGTTTAGTAAATACTTGCGATTCGGATCCGAAATAACCATTTCAGATAAACACCCTAATCGAATTCGAATACAAAAATTTCACCCGATCAACACCGGACTCTGAAGCAGCGAGATGAATTTTCCTAGCTTGCTCGGATAGCGCCGATAAAGGCATTTCCTCCATAGCCAAACCACCTATCACAGGCAACAATTCAAAATCCTCAATGAAATCGAATCCACAAGAATCGAGTTTCTTCGAGAAGAGGATCGGTCAAGTCTTTTGAAATTGTTTAGGGTTCCAAATCGAAATCTGACGAGTTTACCACGAGAGTATAGGAGAGGAAGAAAATGTTAACTGCAAAGAGCTTTATAAGGGACGGCTGAGATCATGCCGCGTCAGGTAAAGTAGATAACTCGAAATTTATTAGCCGTTAGATCTATACACAACCTCAAAACCGACTTAGTTGTAAAAAAAAAATCCAGTCAAAGATCAGGTGCGGGTGGGTGTAGAGTAAACCCGCCATGGATTGTGTTTTTTGTTAATTGAATGGTGATGAAATTTTGTTGATTATAGCATGTGTACAAGTATGAGTAAATTAATATCGCACTCGCTGTATAACCTGTTAGAATTATCGTAGTGCTCTTCATTCGATCGACCTAGGTATTGCGGTAAACCTAGGAGGAATGGTAGATTCTGATACAGAAGGCAACTCAAATTAGACACACAAAAAAAAAATGAAGAGGTGAATTGATTGAACACAACTTACTATATGACTCTCACCCATTTCAGTCTACATAGCTTGAAAGGGAAATGAATACAGAACTTAAATGTTTGACTCTCACGCATTTCAACTCTACATAGCTTGGAGAGGAAATGAATTAACTGAATTAACTGTACTATGATATTATATATACCCATTATTTAATCTCTCACGCACACCCACGCAGAGAACAACATCCTCTGAAGCGTCCAAAGCTAGAGGGATGCTTCAAAAGTTGACCTGAAATGAGAATGGTAAGTTCAGAGAAACCACTAGTCAAATCTATAAGATATTTATGTGTGATTCATTCGGAGATTACGGAGTAAAAGGTTCTTACGGTACTTGTGCCTATATGGCAAGACAAATCTCAGTTACGGGTAATATTGGTTGGTTGGGTAAGGGAAGCGAGTGGCGACTTGGCTGAAAAAAAAAAGGAGTTTATCTATTGAGAAAAATGTGAAGAGTAAAAAATTATATGAAGTAGTTGAGTATCTTTATGAGCAGAACCTGAGCAATCCCAAAAGTCTTGTCGTCACCCATTTTTTCAAGTCTAGCCTGACGGAAGAAATGAAAATGCTGGCAAACTCGATCACGATTATCTGATATAGAAGGAACAAAAAGAAAGTGTATATGGTTTAGGGATACATAAGAAAAGAAATACAAGATAAATGTCGTGATCACTCGTACAGAGGACTTACTTGAGATATGATAGTTGAGGTTATTGTGACGAGAAACATATTCTCTCTAAGGATTTCTTTGAAGGTTTGGTCTACACTTTGGATTTCAAACTCATTACAAACCTGCGTTGGAGTTTAAAGACAGAGAGATGATCAACATATTCGCAGCCAAACAAAAAGTAGGACAAACCTCTCTCTCTTATTCGCTGTCATCATCTGGAATATCTTCTTCTTCAGATTCAACCGGAGTCGACAAAGCTGATGCTTTAGTGGAACGTTCACGTCGCTCCTTTCTCTCTTTAATTTCAAGAAGCTTTGCCTCTGCAGCCTTTTGACGTTTGAACCGAGCTATCTACAAAGTACCGAAATCATGAACACACAACACAGATTTCAAAATCCGAAAACCTTAAACTTCATTCTCGTCAGAATATAAACAAAAGAAACAGGGCTAAATCTACCTTCAGAGCCCTACGATCAGCAAGTGCACCAGAACCTCCTCGTGAAGAAGCCTCCAACTCCTCATTCGGAACAAGTTCCATTGCCTCACAGAACGAAAAGAACTCTTAAACACAATAACAAGACTATATACATCAGTCTGAAAAAAATCCAACCAAATGCTCATTCCCACTAGCACTAGCATCAAAGCTCAGCAAAAAAATTACCTTCAACTTTGCATACGAGGCTTTGACAATCGGAATCCGGTCGTCCTGTATGATTTTCTCTGTCAACTCCGCAAGGTAATAAGGTACCTATAATCACAAGAAAATATATCCCTCGTCACTTTAATGAAATTTCAACCCAAAACCCACACAATCTTCTGATCTCCACACAAAGTCACTAGTAAGTCCAATTGAAGAGGGCACAATCAGAATTTCAGACTCCAGATTTGAAATTTCAGTAGCTAAAACTAGAAGCATCAGGAGAAGCTAAAGTTTTTCACTTTCTGATCTTTCACACCAAAATAATAACAAAAGTATAATACAAACATACTAGTAAAAAATAGAAACAACAAAGACTGAATTGCATACCAAAAGATATTTGAGATTGTTGGTGCTAATATCTTCTTTAGTCTCGTTAGACGAAAACAGCGCCAGCTTCCCGATCATGTCTTCGCACTTCTGAAACATCTCACATCCTTTCTTCACAACATCCTAACAAAACCAAATCGCGGAAATATCCAGTTTAGTAAATACTTGCGATTCGGATCCGAAATAACCATTTCAGATAAACACCCTAATCGAATTCGAATACAAAAATTTCACCCGATCAACACCGGACTCTTAAGCAGCGAGATGAATTTTCCTAGCTTGCTCGAATAGCGCCGATAAAGGCATTTCCTCCATAGCCAAACCACCCATCACAGGCAACAATTCAAAATCCTCAATGAAATCGAATCCACAAGAATCGAGTTTCTTCGAGAAAAGGATCGGTCAAGTCTTTTGAAATTGTTTAGGGTTCCAAATCGAAATCTGACGAGTTTACCACGAGAGTATAGGAGAGGAAGAAAATGTTAACTGCAAAGAGCTTTATAAGGGACGGCTGAGATCATGCCGCGTCAGGTAAAGTAGATAACTCGAAATTTTGTTAGCCGTTAGATCTATACACAACCTCAAAACCGACTCAGTTGTAAAAAAAAAAAGCCAGTCAAAGATCAGGTGCGGGTGGGTGCAGAGTAAACCCGCCATGGATTGTGTTTTTTGTTAATTGAATGGTGATGAAATTTTGTTGATTATAGCATGTGTACAAGTATGAGTAAATTAATATCGCACTCGCTGTATAACCAGTTAGAATTATCGTAGTGCTCTTTATTCGATCGACCTAGGTATTGCGGTAAACATAGGAGGAATGGTAGATTCTGATACAGAAGGCAACTCAAATTAGACACACAAAAAAAAAATGAAGAGGTGAATTGATTGAACACAACTTACTATATGGCTCTCACCCATTTCAGTCTACATAGCTTGAAAGGGAAATGAATACAGAACTTAAATGTTTGACTCTCACGCATTTCAACTCTACATAGCTTGGAGAGGAAATGAATTGACTGAATTAACTGTACTGTGATATTATATGTACCCATTATTTAATCTCTCACGCACACCCACGCAGAGAACAACATCCTCTGAAGCGTCCAAAGCTAGAGGGATGCTTCAAAAGTTGACCTGAAATGAGAATGGTAAGTTCAGAGAAACCACTAGTCAAATCTATAAGATATTTATGTGTGATTCATTCGGAGATTACGGAGTAAAAGGTTCTTACGGTACTTGTGCCTATATGGCAAGACAAATCTCAGTTACGGGTAATATTGGTTGGTTGGGTAAGGGAAGCGAGTGGCGACTTGGCTGAAAAAAAAAAGGAGTTTATCTATTGAGAAAAATGTGAAGAGTAAAAAATTATATGAAGTAGTTGAGTATCTTTATGAGCAGAACCTGAGCAATCCCAAAAGTCTTGTCGTCACCCATTTTTTCAAGTCTAGCCTGACGGAAGAAATGAAAATGCTGGCAAACTCGATCACGATTATCTGATATAGAAGGAACAAAAAGAAAGTGTATATGGTTTAGGGATACATAAGAAAAGAAATACAAGATAAATGTCGTGATCACTCGTACAGAGGACTTACTTGAGATATGATAGTTGAGGTTATTGTGACGAGAAACATATTCTCTCTAAGGATTTCTTTGAAGGTTTGGTCTACACTTTGGATTTCAAACTCATTACAAACCTGCGTTGGAGTTTGAAGACAGAGAGATGATCAACATATTCGCAGCCAAACAAAAAGTAGGACAAACCTCTCTCTCTTATTCGCTGTCATCATCTGGAATATCTTCTTCTTCAGATTCAACCGGAGTCGACAAAGCTGATGCTTTAGTGGAACGTTCACGTCGCTCCTTTCTCTCTTTAATTTCAAGAAGCTTTGCCTCTGCAGCCTTTTGACGTTTGAACCGAGCTATCTACAAAGTACCGAAATCATGAACACACAACACAGATTTCAAAATCCGAAAACCTTAAACTTCATTCTCGTCAGAATATAAACAAAAGAAACAGGGCTAAATCTACCTTCAGAGCCCTACGATCAGCAAGTGCACCAGAACCTCCTCGTGAAGAAGCCTCCAACTCCTCATTCGGAACAAGTTCCATTGCCTCACAGAACGAAAAGAACTCTTAAACACAATAACAAGACTATATACATCAGTCTGAAAAAAATCCAACCAAATGCTCATTCCCACTAGCACTAGCATCAAAGCTCAGCAAAAAAATTACCTTCAACTTGCATACGAGGCTTTGACAATCGGAATCCGGTCGTCCTGTATGATTTTCTCTGTCAACTCCGCAAGGTAATAAGGTTCCTATAATCACAAGAAAATATATCCCTCGTCACTTTAATGAAATTTCAACCCAAAACCCACACAATCTTCTGATCTCCACACAAAGTCACTGGTAAGTCCAATTGAAGAGGGCACAATCAGAATTTCAGACTCCAAATTTGAAATTTCAGTAGCTAAAACTAGAAGCATCAGGAGAAGCTAAAGTTTTTCACTTTCTGATCTTTCACACCAAACTAATAACAAAAGTATAATACAAACATACTAGTAAAAAATACAAACAACAAAGACTGAATTGCATACCAAAAGATATTTGAGATTGTTGGTGCTAATATCTTCTTTAGTCTCGTTAGACGAAAACAGCGCCAGCTTCCCGATCATGTCTTCGCACTTCTGAAACATCTCACATCCTTTCTTCACAACATCCTAACAAAACCAAATCGCGGAAATATCCAGTTTAGTAAAACTTGCGATTCAGATCCGAAATAACAATTTCAGATAAACACCCTAATCGAATTCGAATACAAAAATTTCACCTGATCAACACCGGACTCTGAAGCAGCGAGATGAATTTTCCTAGCTTGCTCGAATAGCGCCGATAAAGGCATTTCCTCCATAGCCAAACCACCCATCACAGGCAACAATTCAAAATTCTTCAATGAAATCGAATCCCCAAGAATCGAGTTTCTTCGAGAAGAGGATCGGTCAAGTCTTTTTAAATTGTTTAGGGTTCCAAATCGAAATCTGACGAATTTACCACGAGAGTATAGGGGAGGAAGAAAATGTTAACTGCGAAGAGCTTTATAAGGGACGGCTGAGATCATGCCGCGTCAGGTAAAGTAGATAACTAGAAATTTATTAGCCGTTAGATCTATACACAACCTCAAAACCGACTCAGTTGTAAAAAAAAATCCAGTCAAAGATCAGGTGCGGGTGGGTGTAGAGTAAACCCGCCATGGATTGTGTTTTTTGTTAATTGAATGGTGATGAAATTTTGTTGATTATAGCATGTGTACAAGTATGAGTAAATTAATATCGCACTCGCTGTATAACCAGTTAGAATTATCGTAGTGCTCTTCATTCGATCGATCTAGGTATTGCGGTAAACCTAGGAGGAATGGTAGATTCTGATACAGAAGGCAACTCAAATTAGACACACAAAAAAAAATGAAGAGGTGAATTGATTGAACACAACTTACTATATGACTCTCACCCATTTCAGTCTACATAGCTTGAAAGGGAAATGAATACAGAACTTAAATGTTTGACTCTCACGCATTTCAACTCTACATAGCTTGGAGAGGAAATGAATTGACTGAATTAACTGTACTGTGATATTATATGTACCCATTATTTAATCTCTCACGCACACCCACGCAGAGAACAACATCCTCTGAAGCGTCCAAAGCTAGAGGGATGCTTCAAAAGTTGACCTGAAATGAGAATGGTAAGTTCAGAGAAACCACTAGTCAAATCTATAAGATATTTATGTGTGATTCATTAGGAGATTACGAAGTAAAAGGTTCTTACGGTACTTGTGCCTATATGGCAAGACAAATCTCAGTTACGGGTAAAATTGGTTGGTTGGGTAAGGGAAGCGAGTGGCGACTTGGCTGAAAAAAAAAGGAGTTTATCTATTGAGAAAAATGTGAAGAGTAAAAAATTGTATGAAGTAGTTGAGTATCTTTATGAGCAGAACCTGAGCAATCCCAAAAGTCTTGTCGTCACCCATTTTTTCAAGTCTAGCCTGACAGAAGAAATGAAAATGCTGGCAAACTCGATCACGATTATCTGATATAGAAGGAACAAAAAGAAAGTGTATATGGTTTAGGGATACATAAGAAAAGAAATACAAGATAAATGTCATGATCACTCGTACAGAGGACTTACTTGAGATATGATAGTTGAGGTTATTGTGACGAGAAACATATTCTCTCTAAGGATTTCTTTGAAGGTTTGGTCTACACTTTGGATTTCAAACTCATTACAAACCTGCGTTGGAGTTTGAAGACAGAGAGATGATCAACATATTCGCAGCTAAACAAAAAGTAGGACAAACCTCTCTCTCTTCTTCGCTGTCATCATCTGGAATATCTTCTTCTCCAGATTCAACCGGAGTCGACAAAGCTGATGCTTTAGTGGAACGTCCACGTCGTTCCTTTCTCTCTTTAATTTCAAGAAGCTTTGCCTCTACAGCCTTTTGACGTTTGAACCGAGCTATCTACAAAGTACCGAAATCATGAACACACAACACAGATTTCAAAATCCGAAAACCTTAAACTTCATTCTCGTCAGAATATAAACAAAAGAAACAGGGCTAAATCTACCTTCAGAGCCCTTCGATCAGCAGGTGCACCAGAACCTCCTCGTGAAGAAGCCTCCAACTCCTCATCCGGAACAAGTTCCATTGCCTCACAGAACGAAAAGAACTCCTAAACACAATAACAAGACTATATACATCAGTCTGAAAAAAATCCAACCAAATGCTCATTCCCACTAGCACTAGCATCAAAGCTCAGCAGAAAAATTACCTTCAACTTTGCATACGAGGCTTTGACAATCGGAATCCGGTCGTCCTGTATGATTTTCTCTGTCAACTCCGCAAGGTAATAAGGTTCCTATAATCACAAGAAAATATATCCCTCGTCACTTTAATGAAATTTCAACCCAAAACCCACACAATCTTCTGATCTCCACACAAAGTCACTGGTAAGTCCAATTGAAGAGGGCACAATCAGAATTTCAGACTCCAAATTTGAAATTTCAGTAGCTAAAACTAGAAGCATCAGGAGAAGCTAAAGTTTTTCACTTTCTGATCTTTCACACCAAACTAATAACAAAAGTATAATACAAACATACTAGTAAAAAATACAAACAACAAAGACTGAATTGCATACCAAAAGATATTTGAGATTGTTGGTGCTAATATCTTCTTTAGTCTCGTTAGACGAAAACAGCGCCAGCTTCCCGATCATGTCTTCGCACTTCTGAAACATCTCACATCCTTTCTTCACAACATCCTAACAAAACCAAATCGCGGAAATATCCAGTTTAGTAAATACTTGCGATTCGGATCCGAAATAACCATTTCAGATAAACACCCTAATCGAATTCGAATACAAAAATTTCACCCGATCAACACCGGACTCTTAAGCAGCGAGATGAATTTTCCTAGCTTGCTCGAATAGCGCCGATAAAGGCATTTCCTCCATAGCCAAACCACCCATCACAGGCAACAATTCAAAATCCTCAATGAAATCGAATCCACAAGAATCGAGTTTCTTCGAGAAAAGGATCGGTCAAGTCTTTTGAAATTGTTTAGGGTTCCAAATCGAAATCTGACGAGTTTACCACGAGAGTATAGGAGAGGAAGAAAATGTTAACTGCAAAGAGCTTTATAAGGGACGGCTGAGATCATGCCGCGTCAGGTAAAGTAGATAACTCGAAATTTTGTTAGCCGTTAGATCTATACACAACCTCAAAACCGACTCAGTTGTAAAAAAAAAAAGCCAGTCAAAGATCAGGTGCGGGTGGGTGCAGAGTAAACCCGCCATGGATTGTGTTTTTTGTTAATTGAATGGTGATGAAATTTTGTTGATTATAGCATGTGTACAAGTATGAGTAAATTAATATCGCACTCGCTGTATAACCAGTTAGAATTATCGTAGTGCTCTTTATTCGATCGACCTAGGTATTGCGGTAAACATAGGAGGAATGGTAGATTCTGATACAGAAGGCAACTCAAATTAGACACACAAAAAAAAAATGAAGAGGTGAATTGATTGAACACAACTTACTATATGGCTCTCACCCATTTCAGTCTACATAGCTTGAAAGGGAAATGAATACAGAACTTAAATGTTTGACTCTCACGCATTTCAACTCTACATAGCTTGGAGAGGAAATGAATTAACTGAATTAACTGTACTATGATATTATATATACCCATTATTTAATCTCTCACGCACACCCACGCAGAGAACAACATCCTCTGAAACGTCCAAAGCTAGAGGGATGCTTCAAAAGTTGACCTGAAATGAGAATGGTAAGTTCAGAGAAACCACTAGTCAAATCTATAAGATATTTATGTGTGATTCATTAGGAGATTACGGAGTAAAAGGTTCTTACGGTACTTGTGCCTATATGGCAAGACAAATCTCAGTTACGGGTAATATTGGTTGGTTGGGTAAGGGAAGCGAGTGGCGACTTGGCTGAAAAAAAAAAGGAGTTTATCTATTGAGAAAAATGTGAAGAGTAAAAAATTATATGAAGTAGTTGAGTATCTTTATGAGCAGAACCTGAGCAATCCCAAAAGTCTTGTCGTCACCCATTTTTTCAAGTCTAGCCTGACGGAAGAAATGAAAATGCTGGCAAACTCGATCACGATTATCTGATATAGAAGGAACAAAAAGAAAGTGTATATGGTTTAGGGATACATAAGAAAAGAAATACAAGATAAATGTCGTGATCACTCGTACAGAGGACTTACTTGAGATATGATAGTTGAGGTTATTGTGACGAGAAACATATTCTCTCTAAGGATTTCTTTGAAGGTTTGGTCTACACTTTGGATTTCAAACTCATTACAAACCTGCGTTGGAGTTTAAAGACAGAGAGATGATCAACATATTCGCAGCCAAACAAAAAGTAGGACAAACCTCTCTCTCTTATTCGCTGTCATCATCTGGAATATCTTCTTCTTCAGATTCAACCGGAGTCGACAAAGCTGATGCTTTAGTGGAACGTTCACGTCGCTCCTTTCTCTCTTTAATTTCAAGAAGCTTTGCCTCTGCAGCCTTTTGACGTTTGAACCGAGCTATCTACAAAGTACCGAAATCATGAACACACAACACAGATTTCAAAATCCGAAAACCTTAAACTTCATTCTCGTCAGAATATAAACAAAAGAAACAGGGCTAAATCTACCTTCAGAGCCCTACGATCAGCAAGTGCACCAGAACCTCCTCGTGAAGAAGCCTCCAACTCCTCATTCGGAACAAGTTCCATTGCCTCACAGAACGAAAAGAACTCTTAAACACAATAACAAGACTATATACATCAGTCTGAAAAAAATCCAACCAAATGCTCATTCCCACTAGCACTAGCATCAAAGCTCAGCAAAAAAATTACCTTCAACTTTGCATACGAGGCTTTGACAATCGGAATCCGGTCGTCCTGTATGATTTTCTCTGTCAACTCCGCAAGGTAATAAGGTACCTATAATCATAAGAAAATATATCCCTCGTCACTTTAATGAAATTTCAACCCAAAACCCACACAATCTTCTGATCTCCACACAAAGTCACTGGTAAGTCCAATTGAAGAGGGCACAATCAGAATTTCAGACTCCAGATTTGAAATTTCAGTAGCTAAAACTAGAAGCATCAGGAGAAGCTAAAGTTTTTCACTTTCTGATCTTTCACACCAAACTAATAACAAAAGTATAATACAAACATACTAGTAAAAAATAGAAACAACAGAGACTGAATTGCATACCAAAAGATATTTGAGATTGTTGGTGCTAATATCTTCTTTAGTCTCGTTAGACGAAAACAGCGCCAGCTTCCTGATCATGTCTTCGCACTTCTGAAACATCTCACATCCTTTCTTCACAACATCCTAACAAAACCAAATCGCGGAAATATCCAGTTTAGTAAATACTTGCGATTCGGATCCGAAATAACCATTTCAGATAAACACCCTAATCGAATTCGAATACAAAAATTTCACCCGATCAACACCGGACTCTTAAGCAGCGAGATGAATTTTCCTAGCTTGCTCGAATAGCGCCGATAAAGGCATTTCCTCCATAGCCAAACCACCCATCACAGGCAACAATTCAAAATCCTCAATGAAATCGAATCCACAAGAATCGAGTTTCTTCGAGAAAAGGATCGGTCAAGTCTTTTGAAATTGTTTAGGGTTCCAAATCGAAATCTGACGAGTTTACCACGAGAGTATAGGAGAGGAAGAAAATGTTAACTGCAAAGAGCTTTATAAGGGACGGCTGAGATCATGCCGCGTCAGGTAAAGTAGATAACTCGAAATTTTGTTAGCCGTTAGATCTATACACAACCTCAAAACCGACTCAGTTGTAAAAAAAAAAAGCCAGTCAAAGATCAGGTGCGGGTGGGTGCAGAGTAAACCCGCCATGGATTGTGTTTTTTGTTAATTGAATGGTGATGAAATTTTGTTGATTATAGCATGTGTACAAGTATGAGTAAATTAATATCGCACTCGCTGTATAACCAGTTAGAATTATCGTAGTGCTCTTTATTCGATCGACCTAGGTATTGCGGTAAACCTAGGAGGAATGGTAGATTCTGATACAGAAGGCAACTCAAATTAGACACACAAAAAAAAATTAAGAGGTGAATTGATTGAACACAACTTACTATATGGCTCTCACCCATTTCAGTCTACATAGCTTGAAAGGGAAATGAATACAGAACTTAAATGTTTGAGTCTCACGCATTTCAACTCTACATAGCTTGGAGAGGAAATGAATTGACTGAATTAACTGTACTGTGATATTATATATACCCATTATTTAATCTCTCACGCACACCCACGCAGAGAACAACATCCTCTGAAGCGTCCAAAGCTAGAGGGATGCTTCAAAAGTTGACCTGAAATGAGAATGGTAAGTTCAGAGAAACCACTAGTCAAATCTATAAGATATTTATGTGTGATTCATTAGGAGATTACGGAGTAAAAGGTTCTTACGGTACTTGTGCCTATATGGCAAGACAAATCTCAGTTACGGGTAATATTGGTTGGTTGGGTAAGGGAAGCGAGTGGCGACTTGGCTGAAAAAAAAAGGAGTTTATCTATTGAGAAAAATGTGAAGAGTAAAAAATTGTATGAAGTAGTTGAGTATCTTTATGAGCAGAACCTGAGCAATCCCAAAAGTCTTGTCGTCACCCATTTTTTCAAGTCTAGCCTGACAGAAGAAATGAAAATGCTGGCAAACTCGATCACGATTATCTGATATAGAAGGAACAAAAAGAAAGTGTATAT